TTATGAACAATACTACAATAGGTGTAAAAATACTACAATGGGTGTAAAAATACTACAATGGGTGTAAAATTACTACAATGTTTGGAAAAATACTACAATAATCGGTGTAAAAATACTACAATGGGTGTAAAAATACTACAATGGGTGTAAAATTACTACAATGTTTGGAAAAATACTACAATAATGGGTGTAAAAATACTACAATGGGTGTAAAAATACTACAATGGGTGTAAATTACTACAATGTTTGTGAACAATACTACAATGGGTGTAAAATTACTACAATGTTTATGAACAATACTACAATGGGTGTAAAATTACTACAATGGGTGTAAAATTACTACAATGTTTATGAACAACACTACAATGGGTGTAAAAATACTACAATGGGTGTAAAAATACTACAATGGGTGTAAAATTACTACAATGTTTATGAACAATACTACAATGGGTGTAAAAATACTACAATGGGTGTAAAAATACTACAATGGGTGTAAAATTACTACAATGTTTGTGAACAATACTACAATGGGTGTAAAAATACTACAATGGGTGTAAAAATACTACAATGGGTGTAAAATTACTACAATGTTTATGAACAACACTACAATGGGTGTAAAAATACTACAATGGGTGTAAAAATACTACAATGGGTGTAAAATTACTACAATGTTTATGAACAATACTACAATGGGTGTAAAAATACTACAATGGGTGTAAAAATACTACAATGGGTGTAAAATTACTACAATGTTTATGAACAATACTACAATGGGTGTAAAAATACTACAATGGGTGTAAAAATACTACAATGGGTGTAAAATTACTACAATGTTTGTGAACAATACTACAATGGGTGTAAAAATACTACAATGGGTGTAAAATTACTACAATGGTTGTGAACAATACTACAATGGGTGTAAAAATACTACAATGGGTGTAAAATTACTACAATGTTTGGAAAAATACTACAATAATGGGTGTAAAAATACTACAATGGGTGTAAAATACTACAATGGGTGTAAATTACTACAATGTTTGTGAACAATACTACAATGGGTGTAAAATTACTACAATGTTTATGAACAATACTACAATGGGTGTAAAATTACTACAATGGGTGTAAAATTACTACAATGTTTATGAACAACACTACAATGGGTGTAAAAATACTACAATGGGTGTAAAATTACTACAATGTTTGTGAACATACTACAATGGGTGTAAAAATACTACAATGGGTGTAAAATTACTACAATGTTTGGAAAAATACTACAATAATGGGTGTAAAAATACTACAATGGGTGTAAAAATACTACAATGGGTGTAAAATTACTACAATGTTTGTGAACAATACTACAATGGGTGTAAAATTACTACAATGTTTATGAACAATACTACAATGGGTGTAAAATTACTACAATGGGTGTAAAATTACTACAATGTTTATGAACAACACTACAATGGGTGTAAAATTACTACAATGTTTATGAACAATACTACAATGGGTGTAAAATTACTACAATGTTTATGAACAATACTACAATGGGTGTAAAAATACTACAATGGGTGTAAAATTACTACAATGTTTGTGAACAATACTACAATGGGTGTAAAAATACTACAATGGGTGTAAAATTACTACAATGGGTGTAAAATTACTACAATGGGTGTAAAATTACTACAATGTTTGTAAACAATACTACAATGGGTGTAAAAATACTACAATGGGTGTAAAAATACTACAATGGGTGCAAAATTACTACAATGTTTTTTTACCGCGATTTTTTACCGCAAAATGACATTTTTTAACTTCCGAAGGAGAAGTTCATGTTTTCATCAAAAAATCCGATTCTCTAATTTTGTTTTCTCGACGTTTCAAACCATTCTGAATCGAATGAGACCAAATTTGGAAAAAGTATATGTGTGTGTGCGCGTGTATGTGAACAGATTTTTTGCCGTAAATCGACGTTTTCTCGAAAACGGCTGGGCCGAATTCAAAAAGTTGGAAGCCATTCGATATATCTCGATGAGGACTAGCGTTTCTGAGGTCTGGCGTTTGTGCGCCGATCGGCCGAGACGTTTCTTTATAAATAGCAGAAAAGTGAAAAAGTTTTCGACCACGTTTTAGCCCGCAATTCTGAATCGATTCTGAAAATTCAAAAACCGTTCAAAAGATATTGGTTGGGAATCGTGCTGATTAGTTTTTGGTAAAGATCGGGCCGTTTTCTTGTAATAAAGTTTTTTTAAAAAAATTCTGAAGATTTTTATGATTTTTTTTTGATGGTAGATATCATAGTCTTCTAGATCATACTAAAATTTTACCGCCCTACGACAACTCGTTTAGCTTTAAAAGTTCGTCAAAGTTTGCAAAAATTGGTATCGTTTTTTTGGCATTTGTCAAAATTAGGCCTTTCATCAACGTTTGGTCAAAAACGCCTAAACCGATTTCAGAAATTTAAAAGCCATTCGATGTATCTCAATGAGCACTGTAGTTCGTCAGTTTTGTGAGACGATCTGCCGAGGCTCTTCTTTGTAATTTGCAAAAAGAGTGTTAAACTTTTCGTCCACATTTAAGCTTATTCTACCGAATCGATTTTAAAAAATCAAAAACTGTTCGAAAGATATTAGTTGGGAATGATACTGATTAGTTTTAGGTGAAAATCTACCGAGCCGTTTTCTTGTAATTTACTGTTGAAAAAAAAATTAAGCCGATTTTTATGAAACTTTCTTTGGCGATGTATATCATGGTCTTATAGAACTTACTGAAATATTACGGCCTTACGACAAGTAGTTTAATTTTAAAAATTCATCAAATTTTGAGAAAATGAGTAGTCTTTTTGACGTTAGCTAAAATTAAAATTAAACGATTTACTTGGTATAACAATATAGTACTTGGTCTTAATAAACATACTAAACTATTAAAATTCTACGGAAACTGGTTCAAAATATATTAATTGTTGATTTTTGAAAAGTTGCTTGTTGAAAATACTCCGAGTTAACAGAGTACTCTTCTCGGAATACTTCTAATCACTCATAAATTAATTTGTTTATTATTGATTAGGTCGATTATTTAAACATATCGGGAAGTTCATGTAACTTGCCTCCAGGCTAAATACCAAACCAACTAGTTATTTAAGTTTGCTCATCCTTTTCCTATTCACATTTTTTTAAACTTTTGTTTCTGAAAATGCCGCCAAGCTAAGCACAGTATAAGTGAAAATGTCGCACAGAATTATTTGACTATGTGGGAGCACTTTTTCAATTTTGTGTAAATTAGGCAACTTTTAAATTTTTTCGAAATTGAATTCAAAATTAAATGACGATTGTTAATGTTCTGGAGATAAATTGAATTATTTATGATTTACATTTGATTTGCTCAGATATAACAAGATAGTAAAAATAATGAAAGTTACAGTATTTGTAATAATATATTTGAAAACGTTTAAAATTTCTCGAATATTTCATTACGGTTCGGGAAGTTCCAGCAATTTGCCTTAAGGCACGATGCCATACACCCCACTAGTTCATTCATATTTATTTTAATCTATAATAATTTTCGGACAAACATATTATTATTGTCGACCAATATTTCAGATTGGTAGTGGCAGTACCCAAAGACACCAGAACAGTCCTTCAAATGCCCAGAGGAAACTTAGAAACCATACAACCGAGAAGTCTCTCATTACACCTGATCAAAAACTTCCTGGACGAAAAAAATTACAAAGCCGCCTTCGAATTATTCCGACGACAGAGAATAAATTTAAATCTAATAGTCGATCACAATCCTGGATTATTTTTGGAAAACATAACAAAATTTATAGACGATATAGCGAATCCTATGTGGATCAGTTTGTTTGTATCGGAATTAAGTAATGAGGATGTTACTAAGACTATGTATGCTTCTTCTTATGCTCACGAAGACCAGGCTTCGTTGGGTAATAAAATAGAAGTTGTTTGTAGTTTGTTAAGGATCGAGTTAGAAAAGCATGATAGGAGTGAACAGTTCATTTATCCTATTTTGGCAACTTATGTTAAGAAGCATACTATCAAAGATTTGGAGAGTGCTTTGTTGGTGATCAAGGAGTTGAAGCACAACAAAAGCAAAACTGTATCAGCCGATGATGCTTTGAAGTACTTGTTGTACTTAATCGATGTAAACGAATTGTACGACATAGCCTTAGGTTTATACGACTTTGACTTGGTGATGTACATTGCACGCAAGTCCCAAAAAGATCCAAAAGAATACATGCCTTTCCTGAACGTCCTAAACAAAATGGAACAAAACTACAGATACTTCACCATCGACAAACATCTCAAACGTTACGAATCAGCACTGAAGCACATATCTTTATGCGAGGACAAATTTGAGGAATGTATGAAATTTATTGCTGATCACGGTTTGTACAAGGTAGCCATGAAGATTTTTGAGAAGAATCATTCGAGTTATTCCAAAGTGGCAGCAGCTTATGGTCAGCATTTGATGAAGCATAGGAATTATTCGGAGGCTGCTATCATGTTCAGGAGGAGCGGTGATTTGGAAAATGCTTTGGAGAGTTCTATGGAGGCCCATGATTGGAGGGAAAGTATACTGATCGCTAGGGAGCTGAATTATAGCCCACAGGAGATGATGAATTTATGCAGGTAGGGTAAAACGACTTATTTCTAAAGTAACATTTTTGTTTTATTCTATTATACCGTAGTCGAAGGAGAGTTTTGGTCTGATTTTTTTTACTGTGCTCCAATTTGCATAATATTTTGGAATTAGGTTCATCTTATTCGGATTCGTTTCGAAATCATTTTTTTTTACTATTATTTTATTTATAATAAATTTATCAACGTTATAAGAGTTGAAGAAGAAGAGCAGTTGAAATTTAAATAAATAATTTAAAATGATGTTGCAATGCTATATACTAGTATTTAGTTAAAAAATAAATTTTTGACAAAATGGTGACTGTTTAAAAAAAGGACCAATTTCCTACCACTTCTATGAGTTTCTGGAATTTTTTAAAAATATAAGAATCAAAGTTTGGACATGAGTTTAATTCACTTTGCTTTGTTTTATTTTAGTATTATTCATTTTTGGTGCATTTGTTGTATTCTATTTCCAGACAGCTCGCGGATGGTCTAAAAGATCAGCAAAGGTTTTCGGAAGCTGGTGAAATATATTTATACCATATGAAAGACGTGGAGAGTGCTGTCGAAGCTTATATCCAAGGTAGACTCTGGTCGGATGCACAGAAATGCTGTAATTTGTTTGAACGAGCTGATTTAATAGGTAAGCAGACATAATTTGTAAAATCTTATTGGTATGTGTATCATTCAATCTACCATACATATACGGTATCTTATATTATTTTAATTTCTGGCACATCTCAGCTGCTTTTCGGCAATAATAATGTAGACATTTCATTTTTCTTATTCATAATCATAAATTTATTATACATATTCTAATATTGTCTAGGCTCATAAGTAAATTGAAATTTTTGGCAGATGACAATTTTTATTTGTTTTCAATGCCAAACAATGTCTCAAATATTTTTAATGTCAAACAATGACATGTCGTCTTTTGCAATTTTTTCCATTTATTTCTACAATATTACTATATTTTTATAATTACATACATCCTAAAAAAATTCCTCAACGAACTTCCGAAAGATTTATCAAAATGCGAATAATCGTTTAGGAGGAGTATATTTACATACATCATTACAGAAGAATTTTATATAAATAATATATATATATATATATATACATATATATATATATATATATATGTATATATATATACTAGCTGACCCAGCAAACGCTGTTTTGCCATCAAAAATATTTGCCGCTTTGCAGAAGTTCTTATAATATACGTAATATATTAATAATAATGTTATATTTTTATTACACAAATTTCTTTACATTTCGATAATTAATTCCAACGCATCATAGTGTTTTGTTTATTTTAATTTTATTTATGTCAAATAGTGAAATATTTTTTTTAATCATTTTAATTTTTTTTATTATTTATATATATATATATATATATATATATATATATCATTTACCTTTTTTCCAGAAACCCATGTAAAAACTGGTCTATCCGAATGTCTGAGCAACTTCTTGATCCAGATCAAAACGATATCAGAGACAGTAACACAATACACGAATAGATTGATGTTATTGAATGAACAGAGGGAGAGCTCAGTATATGCAATAAACTCTGAAATGATGATCGATGATGATGAGAAAAGATTAGCAAACTGTGATTTGTATTCGGACACGAGCAGCGTTGCTGGCAGTACTATTACTAGAAGTTCTTTAAAATCTGGCAGATCGAGGTAAGGGTAAAGGAAAATTAATTAATAAATGTAATTTTGTTGATTGAAATATCATTTTCGTTTCTAGTCGAACCTTCAAATCAAGTAAGAACAGAAGAAAACATGAAAAAAAACTACTATCTCTCAAAGAAGGTAATCCTTATGAAAGACCTGCGCTTATAACAGCAATACATGGTTTAGTCGTCCAAGCATTTGATCTGCGGAGGGATGTAGGAGCCTCTTGTCGAGCTGCTTTGGCATACGATTGGGATGATCAAGCTTCAGAATTACAAGTAAGTAAAAAAATGAATATTATGTAATAAATAATTAAATAAATAAAAACAAAATATTTTTTTCATCAAAATACCTAAAAATTTGTAAAAGAAAAAACTTATATTGTAAAAGTACTTGATAATAATAATAAAAATGATAATGATAATAATAATAATAATAACAATAATATAAGACACTTAAATTTGTTAAAATATCATAAAATAACCTAAAATTTGTTAAATAAAGTAATTATATTGTAAAAGTATTGTAAAGATTTTTAAAATACTTATTAAATTTTTAGAAAAAATACTTGCAACAAACAAACTAATTATATTTAAAAATAATTAAAATTAACTAAATATAAACTAGTGGGGTGGGTGGCATCGTGCCTTAAGGCAAATTGCTGGAACTTCCCGTACCGTAACGAAATGTTCGAGGAATACTGAATGTTTTCAAATAGATTATTATAAATATTGTAACATTGTCTAATATTTATAAGAATTATATAAACTGAATTGCAAAGTTAAAATTATTTGTTTAAGTTATATTAGAATTATTTAGTCAGAATAAAAATAAAATCTCAATTATGTTCGATATACAAGAAAAACTAAAAAGAAAAAAAAAGTAAATAATAAAAAAAAATCCAAAATCAATTATTTTGTTAAGACAAGCAGAAAGTTCTTTGAATCATTTAAATCGGACGCTTATTTCTCTCAAAAACTGCCATTTCTTACATATTTAGCTCCGTATCTTCGTAATGGCTGGGCCTGCCTTTGCCAAAAACTAATAGACGTTTCTCCCAATCATTACTAATTGAATGTTTCTTAGATCATTCAAATCGGATACTTCGTTCTCTCAAAAAGTCGATTTCTATTTTCTGCACTCTTTGCTCCGTATCTCCGAAACGGCTGGACCTGCCTTCGCCAAAAACTAATCAGCTCTTTTCCCTATCAATAGGAATCGAATGTTTTTTGAACCATTCAAATCGGTTGATCCGTGCGCCCGAAAACGTGACTGGAAATTTGTATCCATACATACATACACACACACACATACATCCATTTTTTCTGAGGTATGCCAAAACGTTCAGAAACCTTCAAAACGTCGAGAAATGTAAAAATTTTCAATTTCGATTTTCGGCCCATTACAATAACTTACCCTACGGGAAGTTAATAAGTTTATAGTAAATATATTAAATGATAAATAAATAAGTAATAAAATAGCTAGTAATTAATTAAATTATATTAAACCTATAAAATATTGACTTAAGCCTTATTATAATGTTATTATACCGACGGCTTGTAAAATAAATAAATAAAAATCAGTCATTGATAATTGTCAGGCATATCTTCTAAGATTATTTCTAATTATTTCTATTTCTATTTTTAGAGAAGTCTCTCAACACTCCTAAAGAATCTGCAATTGAGCTTCAGCAATATCTGGACGAATGAATTAATGTCCTGTGCAGAGTCGTCAACAGATCTGACCAGTAACGAGATAGTGGCACAACAGAAGAATGCTGATCTGGGCCCTGAATTTTTAGGTAAGGATATAGTAATACATTACATGACAGCGAGTAGATTTTACATTATTTATTTTTATATAGAACCACATCTACGTATGAAACCAGTAATCAGTACTATTTATTGGGAGTGTGAAATTTTGAAGTAAAGGAATATGATAATACATAAAATGTATATAATGAATTATATTTTTAATGCAATGTGGAAGTAAACATTTTTTAAACTTTGACAGTTTTATTTATTAAATTATTAAATAAATCACAGTTGTTTTAAATTGTTTGGTTTATAATTGTAGTTTGCAAGATTTTTTGGTTGTCAATGTGTTAGGTAAAATAACATTTGATATTAAAGCTTTTGTTTGCAGAAATCTTTTTAAAATAATTCAAATTCAAATTATTATTTGCAAAGTGTTACCATAGTTGACATTTTGCAAAATTCTTCATACATATTTACCTAAGTTCATGTCTATCCTTTGGCCACCCAACTTCACCTGTGACACCACTAAATGTCAAAAAGAAACCCAGGAACAAAATTGCGGCGTGACTTTTCTAACCAAACTTGAATTTTATTACATTTGTGCAAAATCTGCGAACATCCATCGAAATAAATAGCGTGGAAATACAGACAATGAACCTGGCGTATCAGAAAAGTAAGAACAATAATAATATCCCAATATTATTACGCGATAATTGTATAAATAACGTATATGTTAGTGGTTTTGATGAATTGTCATTGTGCACGTGCTTGGTAAAGGTTAATAAAAAGTATTATTTGGTCCTGTGTTTTATACATCGTGTGTGTAAAATTGCATTATATTAATGTAGTACATTAATGAATTATTTGTGACTTTAAATGGTTAACATATAAATTATGTACATGCAATGGGGTGGACGATGGGGCATTGTAGTAAGGTAAGTGCAAATGTATACTTAATATAAAATAATAAATCAACGACAAATGTTTTTAACGTATATTAATATGTCGATGTCCATTATTATAGTTTTTAGCCCATTTACTTGTCAAATTCTTAATCGCTTTGTTTCCAATATGATTCTAATTATGATTCTAATTGGAATCCAAATTCTAATTAAAATCTACTTGGAATTTCTTGTCCTTAATTTCTTTGTAAAATTATATAATCGAATTTATTTGTACTACGTAAATATTAGAGGCATATGGAGATATATTTATTTATTGCATTTATGTTTGTAGTACATACTATCTAAACTAGTTTTCAAGGCGAGTACAAATTAGTTTTATTACAATTTATTGTATCGGAGTATATAAAACAATTTATATGAATTATTAGTAAATTTTATCTAGTTTTTGCTAAGTTATATAAAAGTATCTTGAACAAAATGTTCATGGTAATTTAAAAAAATGTAAAAACATGTCCCGGATTCATACAAGTATTGTATTGCACTATGCACTTGCAAATTAATTTTATACAAATTTTTTGTATCGGGGCATATAAAACAGTTTATACACAATTTTATCTAATTTTTGCTAAGCTAATTAAAAAAGAGTGCCCGGAACAATATTTTCATGCATTTTTAAAAAAATGTAAAAAAATATCCCGGGTTCATACGAGTCTTGTATTGCACTTCCCACTTACAAATTATTTTTATTTAAATTTTTTTTGTATTGGGGCATATAAAACAGTTTATACAGTTTTTTAATAAATTTTATCTAGTTTCTGCTAAGCTAATTTAAAATGAGTACCCGGAACAAAATTTTCATGTTTTTTATTAATGTAAAAAAATATCCCGGATCCATACAAGTATTCTATGACACTATGCACTTACAAATTATTTTTATCCAAATTTTTCGTATAAAGGCGTATGAAACAGTTTATACAAAATTTTAATAAATTTTATCTAGTTTCTGCTAAGCTAATTAAAAAAGAGTGCCCGGAACAAAATTTTCAAGATATTTAAAAAAATATGTAGAAAAATGTCCCGCGTCCATACAAGTATTGTATTGCACTATGCACTTACAAAAATAATTTTATACAAATTTTTCGTATAAAGGCCTATAAAACAGTTTATTCAGAATTTTAATAAATTTTATCTAGTTTCTGCTAAGCTAATTAAAAAAGAGTGTCTTGAACGAAATTTTTGTGTTATTTAAAAAAATGTTCTGGATCCATTCAAGTATTGTATATTGCATCATGCACTTACAAATTATTTATATTCAAATTTTTAGTTTCGGGCCTTATAAAACAATTTATATAAAATTTTGATAAATTTTATCTAGTTTCTGCTAAGCTAATTCAAAAAGAGCGTCTTGAACAAAATTTTCAGGTTATTTAGAAAAATGTAAAAAAATATCCCGGATACATACAAGTATTATACATATTGCACTTACAAATTATTTTTAATTTTTTTGTATCGGGGCATATAAAACTGTTTCTACAGAATTTTAATAAATTTTATCTAGTTTCTGCTAAGCTAATTCAAAAAGAGTGTCATGAACAAAATTTTCAAGTTATTTAAAAAAAATGTAAAAAAATGTCCCGAATCCATTCAAGTATTGTATATTGCACTATACACTCACAAATTATTTTTATTTAATTTTTTTGTATCAGAGCATATAGAACAGTTTATACAGAATTTTGATAAATTTTATCTAGTTTCTGCTAAGCTAATTCAAAAGAGTGTCTTGAACAAAATTTTCATGTTATTTAAAGAATTGCAAAAAAATGTCCTGAAAAGTCTTCACTTGTACTTTATCATTTTTATAAAAAAACTGCTAAGTTATTAAAATAAATTTTATTTAAATATTTTATTATCAATATAATTTGATTTTTTTATATAAAACATTCTATGCTACACATACACATACATATATATAACAATTAGTTATGAAAATCTTTAAAAATTATATATAATTATTAATTGTTATGGATTATATTAATAAGGATTATATTTGGCACTATAAATAAAAATAGTCTTGTATTATTAAATAATTAATTTCAGGATAATAGATAAAAGTTAAAGCAGAATGTATATTTTTTTAGCATATAACAATACTTGGTAATAATAGTTTTATAAAATATAAGTACATTATTATTCAGTTATTTTATATACTTATGACTAAAGTTATCAAAGTTTATAAACGTTTAATATTTTTACAACAAAACTTATATTTATACTTAACTATATATATATTATAACAATTATACTAATGGTTATTTTGAATAAACTTATATAAAATATAAAGTCTAAAATAATACTTTTTGCTTAAACAAATGTTTTTAGTTACATGAATTCAGACTACATATTTTATTTTAACAAATAATTCTTCATAAGTATAGTTACAACATTTTTATGCATTATCCAAAATTTATCAAATATTCTTATTCTAATTATAGGTACATATTATATACAAAACATTTGCATGTTATCGATGACCAATGTCATCTGTCCTTCATCGATATCTTCTTGAGATTAAATCATTAAATTTAATATATCAATTTTATCCATAGCATTACATATATCTCTATTATCCTACAGTCTATTAAAACATGTTAATCGTCAAACTCAATTTAGTATTGCACATGCTTAAACCGATTACACGATAAACTTTCTTTTCACAAAAAGTAAAACATAATACTTTTTTATTGTAAAATAATATTATAGTCCGGTTAATTTCAACCTAAAATTAGGGTGAAGGTTACAATAATTCATAATAGGCAGTGATGTCTCAGCATTGCTTCATGTAGTTATAGTGTTATAGTAAAGTTACATTAAAAATGTATTTGAATGATTAAGATTAATTAGTTTCCCATTGTTTTTTCAAACGTGGCGGTATGTTCGAGCCTCACAAATTTTATTAGTAATTTCCTACCGTAGTATAGGTACTAAGCTAGTTATAAGAAATCATTCATTCTGTACATATACCTTGACCCGATAACATCTAATAGAACTTACTAAAATTAAATATGTTTCATTTCTACAAACAATTTCTGAAGTAGTTAATATTTTCTATTCAGTTCTCTGCTATTTCAGGTCTGATACAGCCTTTTTGATAATTAATTATAACTGGCCCTAATGATCATTAGTCATATGCACATCAAATTATTAGATATTTTATAGAGATTTTAATAATGTGTACACATTTTGTGTCAATTTTTTTGGGTTTCGTACCAAGATTTTCAAATTTAAAATTCAAATATATGGTTCAAATAAATGTCTTCGACATTTTTGACAGTATGGAATAACCGATTTGTATGATTGGAAAATCGTTCAGTTCGTACTCGATCGCGAGGAAAGGCAATTCTGCTGTTTCGGAGGCATGGAGCGCAAAGGGCGTAAAAACAGTTATGCAGTTTTTGAGAGAACGGATCGTCCGATCAAATTGATTCAAAAAACATTTTGCTTGAGTGGACGGTGTGCAAAAAATGCTTTTTCAGAAAATTTCGTAGTCGTGAAAATTTTCAAAAAAAATTTCTAAATTTTCAAAAAATACAAAGTTTCAAAAAATTTAAATTTTCAAAATTTTTCGTTATTTTGGGTCATTCTTTTACAAACCGTACACCAACAATACCTTGACATTTTAGAATTGGCTGAATTTTTTTTTATAGATATTATAGATAAAATCATTTGACACGTATTTCAGGATTTTGACGACAAAATTTTTTTTCGACGACAAAATTATGTTAATTATCTTTAGTTGTGTTGATTAGATCAGTATTGTTTTTTTTTATTATATTTATTATGAACTCAACTTTGAAGTAACTTAAAAAAAAAGTTTTTGCAATTATTTTAACAATAATAATTTAAACTTAACTTAAATCGATTGCATAAAAAATCATTTTGTTTCTTGTTTTATCTACTACAAAATTATTTTTACAATTTGATGTTGATGGAAAGGCTTTTACATCGAAAGATATTAAATGTTTTCGAGTGCAAGCCGATTATCTAGCTCGCGCCAAAACGATGAGGACTTTTGAAATTATTTTTCATAATTGTATTTTAGGCAGTTTTACCAAGGTACAGAACATTATAAATCATTGTAACCTTGAATGCGTAAATTGACCGGACTATTAAGAATGCATATAAGTTATTATACTTGTCCATAATTATTTACAATTTTCATTATTAAAGACTTCGAAAACATTGTCACGTTTAGCTTTTTAAAGACTTCATCAATTGTCTTGGTCTGGTCAATTTTGAACACAACTTAGGATTATTCTCATCGTCATCAAACTGAATTTTCAATTGAATCCCTCAACACGTGTTTTTATTTTTCCTTTATTACCTCTTACTTGTTGTAGATAATTTTATGCTCTACAATTTTGTCTGAGGTAATTTTCGGATAAATCTGACCATTTAGCCGAAAATCGCAAAAAAATCATTTTTTTACCTACGACCTTTCGCCAACTTTCTAACTCGCATCAAAACAATGAGTACTTTTTTAAAAAAAATTATGATTGTATTTTAAGAAATTTTGCCAAGGTACAGCCCATTATGAATTGTGGTAACCTTGAATGCATAAATTGACCGGACTATTAAGAATGCATATAAGTAATTATACTTGTCCATAATTATTTACATACTTATTATTTAAGACTTCGAAGTCCATCGTCACTGGAAAAAAATTTATATGATAACACTATTACTTTTGTTCACAACACTGCTGCTGCAGTAATATTTCAGTAGCACTAGTAACTAGCATTTCAATATATAGATTTTGGGATTTTAACTGTTTAGGTCGATGGTACCTATTATTAGTAAATCGATATCATTGTGATTTCCGTACTTTGCTACAATTATTCGGCAAAGTAAATTGAATTGAATTAAAATAGTGTTTAATTAATTAAACAAGTTCTGCAAGACAAATGGTTTACGAATTTCTTGGAAAATACTTCCAGTCAGTCACCAGGCAATATTCATATGACTTCATCAAATGTCTTGGTTTGGTCAAATTTGAACACAACTTGGGAACATCTTCATCATCACCAGATTGACTTACCAATTTAATTCCTTCACAAATTGTAGGATTTTCCTTTCTCACCTCTTACTATTTATAAACTTCCATCGACGACGACCTCTCACAGATCACAAAAACCTCATCCCTTCTCTCAATCACCTTCAAAAAAGAAACCTCATCCCTTCTCTCAATCACCTTCAAAAAAGAATCCTCATCCCTTCTCTCAATCACCTTCAAAAAAGAAACCTCATCCCTTCTCTCAATCACCTTCAAAAAAGAGTGAACTAATTTCTTATAAACAAACACAAATTTGTTTGTAGAATATTTTCGTTGTTTAATTTAAAAAGCACTTATATTGATTATTGATTATTTTCATTTCTCGAATGTTTAATTACGGTACGGGAAGTTCCAGCATTTTGCCTTAAGGCGCGATGCGATACAAAATTAGTTACTTTTGATTTTGTACCAATATTTTAGCTTGCACCGAAACGATGAGGACTGTCGAGATTTCTTTTATAATTATATTTTGAGCAATTTTACCAAGTTACAAGTTGTAACTTACAACCCATAATGAATTATTGTAATCGTAAATTGAACAGACAGACTATTAAGAATGCATATAAGTTATTATAAGTTGCTCATAATTATTTACAATTTTCATTATTGAAGACTTCGAAGATATTTGAACATTTATTTTGCAGTTCATCGTCACATTTGACAATATTCGCATTAAAGATGACTTCATCAATTGTCTTGGTTTGGTCAAATTTGAACACAACTTAGAATCATTCTCATCATAATCAAATTCTAATCCCTTAACACGTGTTTAATTTTCCTTTCTCACCTCTTACTATTTACAAACCTCCATCGAAGACGACTTCTCACAAATCACAAAAACCTCATCCCTTCTCTCAATCACCTTCTGGACAACCTTCGACTCCGTCAAATCTCTTCCAGCCTCGTCTCAAGAAGTCATCTCCTGGTGAACCAGCTCCGATTGGAGGCACATGGGCGGCGTCGGAGTCGTATTGGAGGTCGTCAACAAGGGTACCATTCCCGATCTCTGAGATTGGGTATCCGAATTCAAGCATGGCAGGGTGCTTCTGAACCTCGATGGGGCGTGCGTGTAGACGTTGGGCGATGCCGAGGTGACGTAGGTTCGGAGCTCTCCGTCGCTGCTGGCGTAGGTCGGTGTTGGGTGGTGGATGTAGGGTTTTAGGCGAAAGTTGTTGTGGTGGAGGGATGGGCTGCCGAGGACTTGGTCCTGGAATAATAGATAATTGATGTTAATATATGATAGTAATTGTTCCATGAAAGTTCTTTCTAGTTGAAAGTGGCATTTTGCCTTAAGGGGCACAACAAGTGTGAAATTTTCAAAAAATCGAATTTTCAATTTTTTCATATTTCGATAGGTTATACCTTTAAAAATAACATACCAAAATTTTAAATCGATATCTCAAATAGTTTTTGAGTCACAGCCATTTGAAGAGTATATATATAGTATATAGTATAACGATTATTTTATTTTCAAACGCGTTTTTCTCGAAACAGCATTTTCCGAATTTGCTGCAGCGATTACTCAAAAACAAATGATCCGATCACTATCGAATTTCTTTTACATATTCTATATATAGTTCTCCGTAAAATGAACTATCGATTTTTTGATCGGATCAAATATCGAATTTTGGCAGTCTAAAACGACCAAAATTTTCGGTAAAATTCGACTTTTAAAAAAAAAAAACGCCGCCATTTTGTCAATTTTTGTTTTTTTTTATCGTAGGTCATTTTACAGACAATATCATCTAGTTTAACGAGAATTTTTTTTTAAATTTTATCCACGTAGAAGGCCGGAATCACCGCAGCAGTGAAGAGCCTTTTTTTTGCGCCGTTGGAGATCGACGATAACTTAAAAAATATTTAATTTTTTTCTTCAAAAATTTTACGATATTTTCTCAAAACATGTATAAATATATTCCTAAAATTTTAATATGATTGATAAAGTAGTTTTTTTAATATAAATTCCCAAAAATCACCTTTTTTTAGGCGGGGTTACACTAGTTGTGCCCCTTAATAAAATATCTAAACTTTTTTAAAAACTTTAATTTTTGGTACGGGAAGTTCCAGCAATTTGCCTTAAGGCACGATGCCATACACCACTAGTTCCAAATTTTAATCGAATTTATATAATTCGACGAATTTTCATAGTACTGTTTAGTGCATGAAAAAACGTCGATTTTTTTTTTTAAATTTAATAAATTATTTTGTAAAATATTAAGCATTTATTATAAGAAATTACTGTCACGATTAAGTAAATTATTTATGTAGTTCTAGATATTATTTAATGATTTAAATAAATGGTAGCATTTTTAACAAAAATGGAGAAGTTTTGTAGACTGTTTATTTTTTTTTTTTTTTGCTAATTCCAAAGTCATTTCTAAATGACTTGATTGACTTATCACATCACAAAAGCGACTCTTGACACGAATTTTGTATTTCTTTAAACTTTGATGAATTTTTAAAATTAAACTACTTGTTGTAAGGACGTAATATTTCAGTATGTTCTATAAGACCGTAATATCTATCGTCAAAGCATTCATAAAAATCGCCATTTTTTGGCAATTAATTACAAGAAAACGGCTCGGTAGATTTTCATCTAAAACTAATCAGTATTATTCCCAACCAAAATATCATTCGAATAGTTTTTGTTTTCTTAAAACCAGTTCAGGATTTTGAGCTAAAACGCGGACCAAAAGTTTTTCACTTTTGCAAATTACAAAGAAACGCCTCGGGCGATCGTCGCACAAAACTGACAAACAATAGTCTTCATCGAGAATGGCTTTTAAATTTTTGAAATCGGTCCATCCGTTTTGGAGAAAACGTCGATTTACGGCAAAAAATCTGTTCACGCACACACACACACATATACTTTTTCTAAATTTGGTCTCATTTGACTCAGAATGGCTTGAAACGTCGAGAAAACATAATGGATTATTTGATGAAAACAAACTTTTCCTTCAATAATTTCTAGAACATCATTTCATCTAACCCACCTCTGTTTTTATTATGGGTTTAATCTTGTAGTTCAAGCTCTCCGGATTTCTAAGCAATACTCGATTCTCCTGCATGTATTCATCATCTGAAAAATGCGGCAATAACTCCAAAGATTTATCTGCTGATACTGCAAACATTAGAAAATATTAATTAATTAATTATTAATTATTAATTACTTTGTCTAGATGCAAAAATATAATACATTGTTCAAATTCGTACCTGAACTTGTCTGACTCCTCATTTCAGATTGAGTATTGTCTTTGGTTTGCCGTTTTTGGTCATGTTTGTTGAAAGTTTGAGGCTCGCCTTTTCTCTGATAATAATAATAAAAATATTTTCTATTTAGACATCAACATTAATGCTAATAGTAGACTACACATTTTTTATTCCAATTTTATTTCTGATTTTAGTCAACGTTATGGTATGTCAATTAAATACTTCATCTATCTAGATGATACCTTCTAAAGTCAAAGAATTCATTACAAAATCTCACCTTAGATTTGCATCTAATCATAATGACTATACAAATAGCAACCACGATTAAAGTTCCAACGGTTCCTACCAAAGCTCCTAATAATGGTGTCAGTTGAATTAGAACGCCAACTTTATTTGTATTAGCTGGAAAAAAAATTATAATTATAATAGGCATATGATAAAAATAAATAATTTGTGTAGTTACCAAATATATTGCTGTGCTGTTCTCTAACATTTTTCTTAGCCATAGGTTTCATGGTTGTACCTAGTACTATTTGTTCTGGGCTGAATCCTTCTGCGTTAAAAGCAGTTATCTGAAATAAAAAATACACAAATGATATTAAAAATAAGGTTCACACGCGATTGTAGTAAAACTTATTTGCTATTGTATGAGATGGCATTTAAGTTAGATATATACATCATATAACAATTTTGAATAATGTTTATTACTGATATGGTAGCACTCGTGATGCACACTTTTATTAGTGTCAACCATTATACACATTTACATAATGATAAATTATAAATTATATATTTATAATAACATTAAAAATATGCAAAATATTTAGAAATAATAATGTAGTTAAAGTCATACTTCAAATATGACATGATCGGTTTGTCATTGTAATTTGCATTTAGAAATAAACCTTTAATAGAGAAATGAAGTGATTGCTGATTAATAACTTCTATAATATTCGTTCACACAGTGGATTATGTTAAACGACGCCTAAACAAATATTGCTCTCGCAACTTCACTCATCATGTAATAATTGTGTTTGGAGAACTTCATTTAATTAAAATTAACATACATTCATTGACTGCTTGTATTTTTTTTACTTTTTCGTTGGCGATACAGTCTCATTCTTTGAGCATCTTTAATATATGTCTGGCCTATAAAAATATTTTCCATTTTAAAATCTTCAAAAATTTGTAGAAACTACGAATAATATAGAAATTATTTCAATAAACTTACGTTTCGTACACGGCACAAATGTTTCATATGTATTAATAACTTCCCGTAGGGTAAGTTATAGTAATCGCAAAAAAATCGAAAATGAAAATTTTTATATATCTTTACGTTTCAAAACCTTCTGAACATTTTGGCATACCTTAGAAAGCGTGGATGTATGTGTGTGTATGTGTGTGTGTGCATGTATGTGTTTGTGTTTGGATACAAATTTTCGTCGACGATTTCGGGAACACGGATGAAGCGATTTGAATAATTCAAAAAACATTCGATTCGTATTAATAAGGAGACGTGCTGATTAGTTTTTGGCGAAGTCAGGTCTAGCCGTTCCGAAGATACGGGGCAAAAAGTGCCAAAAACGGTAACTCAGTTTTCAAGAGAACGGAGCGTCCGATTTGAATAATTCAAAAAACATTTTGCTTGTATTAACAAGATGAAGAACTGATCAACTTTTCATAAAGGTAGGTCTAGCGGTTTCAGAGATCTAGTAAAAAAAGTAAAAAAAGCCATTTGGCGGTCAAAAATGATCATTAGACGTATGCACATCAAATTATCAGATATTTTATAGAGATTTTAACATTAAGGGAAGTTCCAGCAATTTGCCTAAAGGCACGATGCCATGCGCCCCACTAGTTTTTTATTCATTTATTTATTAAAATAGCAATCAAGATACAATTTAATCTTATAAACTATTGTAACACAAACGAGAGGAAAAAAATAATAGAAGAGAAACAAAAAAATATAAATAAAAAAGAAATAATTATCTAGAGTCCATTCCAGTGACTGAAGCCTGGTATTTCATTTAAGGAAATATTTTACTATAAATGTATAGTAACCACGAATAATACAATTCACTTCTATAAACTTACGTTTCTTGCATGGCACAGATTTATCATTTGTTTTATTAGTTTCACTATAATTATTTACCGAACTCGGGATGAAATATTCTGCCGATCCAGGCATTGTTTTTATCAAATCAAGATTTCTACTAGAATGTCCCCTCAAAATCTAATGTCATTCCGAACAATATGGTTCTCGCATTTGGAGACATACTACGTATACGCATACAATCAAAGAACCCTCTCACGTGGCACGATGACCAATCACAATCGACCCGTATAGAAATGATCTCATTGAGAGCGAATGACGAATCATTGGCACTTGACTCGGCCGTAACGCTCTTCCGTTGCATTTTCATAGATTTACTTTCTAGTCGCGCCTAAAGAAGGTTTTAGAAATAGGTTTTTAGTTCACGAAATTTACTTACCACTATTCTATAATCAGTCTCCGATGGCAGATGATTAGCTCTCAGAATTGGAATCGGAGAACTATAGTTCAAATATAGTTTCGAATTATTTACATCATAAATTAAAAACATGAATTTTTGCTCAGTTCCACCATCGTATCCAGGTATACATTGAACCAGGAACATGTTGATACTGTTGGATTCAAAGGTGCAGTTTTTGGCTGGCTCTGGTTTTTCTAAAAAATAACAAACCATGATAATGGATAATGAACCAGAATTACTGTAATTTTCTATGAAGTGTCTTTTACCCTTACCTGCTAATTGCAAAATAGTCTCACAAGGTATGACTTGGTCTCCGATAGGATTTTTGGCATAACACAAAATCGAGTAGTGCCTTTTTTCTCCTTGCTCCGAAACGTAGTCTTTGTACATTTGTTGTCTGAACAAAAATTCGTTGGCAGTCGTTGTATTCAAAACCATGGATTTTTTGGCGTGGTTAATTTTCCAGGTGTACTTTAGATTATTCTGATGGAAATAGACATTCGGTTTAGTAGATAATAAAAAAAAATGTAATTTTTTTTATCACTTACATGTGGGAAGCTCCTTACGGGACACGTAATGTTGACGTCCTGTTTACTGGATATTGTCATGATTTTGGTGTCGCTTGCACAGATGGGCTCGTCTAGAATAAATCATAATTATTTTATTAACTACCCGTAGGGTAAGTTATAGTAATCGCAAAAAAAATCGAAATTTTTTATATATTTTTACGTTTCAAAGGTTTCTGAACATTTTGGCATACCTTAGGAAAAATTGATTGAAAGAAATTTTTGTCGACGATTTCGAGAACACGGATCAACCGAATTGAAGAATTTAAAATACATTCGATTTCTATTGATAAGGAGACGTGCTGATTAGTTTTTGGCACAGGCAGGTCTAGCCGTTTCGAAGAAACGGGGCAAAAAGTGCCTAAAATGGTATTTTAGTTTTTGAGATAACGAAGCGTCTGATCTGAATAAATCAAAAAAACATTTTATTTATATTGACTAAACGAAAAACTGTTCAAATTTTTGGAAAGGCAGGTCCAGCGGTTGTGGACTCTCAATAAAAATAAGTTAAAAAATGCCATTTGGCGGTTAAAAATGCTCAATAGACATATGCATATCGAATTATCAGATATTTTATGAAAATTTTAATAATGTGTACACATTTTGTATCATTTTTTTTGGGTTCCGTACCAAGATTTTTAATTTTAAAATTTACGTATATTGGTCAAATCAATGTACTCGATAGTATGGAATAACCGATTTGTATGATTGAAAAATCATTCGGTTTGTACTCGATTACAAAGCGTTTTTGCAAAAGGCATTTTTGCCGTTGCGGAGGTATGGAGCGCAAAGGGTGTAAAAACAGTTATGCAGTTTTTGAGAGAACGGATCATCCGATTAAATTTATTCAAAAAACAATTTGCTTGAGTAGACGGTGTGCAAAGAATGCTTTTACAGAAAATATTGTAATTTTGAAAATTTTCAAAAAAAACTAAATTATAAAAATTTAAAAAAATATCAGAATATAAAATCGATTTCTTACAAAAATTTGAGAATGTTTCGAAACTTAAAAAAAAATCGAATATTTTTAAAAATATCCAAATTTTCTAAAAAATTTATATAAATGTTTTTTTAAAAAAAAAATTCCAAACAATTTCAAACATCTAAAAAATTTCAAAATTTTGTAAAATTCTAAATTATCAAAAAAATGAACACATTTCTCATAAACATACACAGAGTTGTTTGTAGAATATGCTCTTTGCCTAATTTAACCCTTTCCACTCGGATGCTGCCACTCAGGCGACAAAAACGATTTCTTATAAAAATTTGGGAATATTTCGAAATTTTCGAAAAAAAAAATATTTTTAAATATTTCCAAGTTTTTGTTTTAAAAAAAATTCAAACTTCTGAAAAATTTCTAATTTTGTAAAATTCTAAATTATAAAAAAAATCAAATTTAAAATAAAAATGAACAAACTTCTTATAAACATACACAAAGTTGTGTGTAGAATATGCTCGTTGCCTAATTTAACCCTTTCCCCTCGGATACTGCCGCTCAGGCGTCAAAATACATACAAATTTCGAAATGCCCGAGTGGAAAGAGTTAATAAGTACTTATAAGTTCAGGGGGCGTCCATGGCGTAATCACGTAAGGTTTTTTGGGGGAGGGGGAGGAAGGGCATTTTTTTTCGAAAATCTTCAAAAACTCGCTCACGTGATTAATGAACTCCCCCTTACAGTATGTATTTAAAATAAATAATCTATTCCAAATTATTCAAAACAATTACTGATTATTTTCATTTCTCGAATGTTTAATTAAGTTTCAGGAAGTTTCAGCAATTTGCCTTAAGGCACGATGCCATGCGCGCCACTAGTTTTAAATATTAATAATTAATTTGTTAATAATTTACTCACATTGGACATTGAGAGACAATTCGTTGCTGTATCCGATTCCTTGGGAATTTTCAGCCTGGCAAACGTAGCTGCCAGCATTTTCTTTGGAAATGTGCTGAATTACTAAACTGTTGTTCGTTGATATTATTCCATCCGTGTTGTTTGTTACAATTTTATGACCCTGGGTAAAATAGATATTTTTATAAATATTCACCTTCGCTAAAGGATACAAATACTTAAAGATGTATAATATAAATAAAGAAGAATTTCATAAATTGTACTGACATTGTGTTTCCATTCAACGATGTATTTTAAAGGGTTGGCATTGACGTGGCACTCCAAATACACGTCACTCCCTTTTTTGACAGTCTGAGATCTCAAGGGGGCTCCGAGTGTCAGTCTTATTACCGGAGCATCTGTAAGAATGAATGATACATTTTAAATACCAGAAATATTAGGTTGTCAAATATCTCCCTTCCGCTTTTTTGCTCTTGGTTTATAATACAAAAAGGCGGAAGGGAGATATTTGACAACCTATTATTGTAAATTCAAATTTTCAACTTGAAGCTAAATTTCATCTTCAAGGTAATTTTTTTAAAATTTCTTGATGTTATATAAGTTCTCTAATTTTTTCATTGATTATAACTAACTTACGTAGGACGTTCAATTTCCATGAATCTTGCAAAGGTTTTTTTCCTTCGGTGTCAATATGGCAGTTTAATAGTTTTCCATGGTCGTTTGCATTTGCTATGAAAATTATTCTGCTGGTGGTTGTATTTCTGTCTTCTGAAGTCTACAAATAAAAATTATAATTAGAATAATAATTAATTAACACATGCATTAAATATTAACAAAGCTAAAGAAACTTGTTAAATGAAAAATAATCCTCTAGCCACGAATTCCAATTATACCGATGATTTTAGAGAATTTATATCTGGACTAGCAACACTAGAACTCTGTTTCGCCACTAGATGGTTTCGTTAGAAAGATGAAGAAATTTTTTGTTTGTTTTATATTTGAAAAGGAAAAATTTGATTTTATTACACAACACTAACGAATTTATTTCGATTACAAAAATGAAGTGTTTTTTAGTTGAACTTCTCTAAGTAAATGAAAGTGAATCCGCAAATTATCCGTTTCATTGAAGTGCTCTTTGGTAAACCACATTTTTTGTTTTTTGTACTGACGTTAACATAAACAAAGCAGAGGGTTTCCCAATTCGTGAACAGGCAACGTAAAACTGCCCATGTGAAAAATAATGATTTTCTAAATAATCTATTTGAAATTTATCCTGCAAACACTAAGCGATTGGCCTAGCGACTTGTTATTGCGAATGCAAGGCGAAGTGACGAAAGACCAGTCGGAATCATTGGTATGTCACCAAATCGCCAGCAAATTTTGATTGAATGGTGAAATTCAGTGCGTGTACATCATTATTGTTTGCGGCAAGAATTGCTCGTTGACTTAACCAAGCATAATTCTGATAATTCTCACTAATGTCATTATTCGAATTTTTAATTACGGTGCGTGAAGTTCCAGCAATTTGCATTAGGGCACGATGCCATGCACCACTAATTTTCTTAGCAATGAACCTTGCGGAGCCCGAGGCCTTTCGGAGTTATTTTGTCAGGAAGGAAAACCCGACTTATTTTTATATATATAGGAGATAATATCATGAATAAAAAAAGTGTTGCATTTGATCGAATAATAATGTTCTTACTAAAAGTCCGCAACTTTTATAAAAAAAAAAAGTTTATATATTATACTTACAATTTGTGAAGAATTATTAAGAGCAGTTCCTCCCAAAGTCCACAGCAATTTTGGAGCAGGACTTGCCCCTACAACCTCGCAGGAGGCGCTACTGGATTTTCCTGAAGACACTGGTTTGTTGGAACCGATTAATTTTACCCATAATGGTGGCACTGGACAAAAAAATAAAATTATTTAACAAACTATGTACAAATTTATTTTCCATCATTAATTAATATTTCCCATTTCAATTGAATTATTTTAAATGTGATAAATCAAAATGCACTCGTCAAATTCCTTTCAAATTAAAATTAGCCACGCGTTAATTTTCTGTCATTATTGAATTTCGCGGCTGAAAAATGGCAAAACGCATCATTGAATTTGATACGAATTGCTTTTAATTGCATCAATTAATTTAAATAACACATTAAATAACTATGATTGATAATGCATCGGTAATTCATTAAATTTATCGATATTAAATGAAAGCTATCATCTATTCAATATAAACAGCGCATGGTAATATATAGGGGAGGGTTGGAAAATAGTTGACACATTTTATTACTACTACATTTTATTATTAACTTCCCGTCAAATAAGTTATAGTTACCGCAGAACAATCGAAAACGAGAATGTTTATATATCTTTACGTTTGAAAGGTTTCTGAACATTTTGCCATACCTTAAAAAAAAAGGATGTACTTCTAACATTGAGAATTTTGATTTTTTAAAAAAAATCTGACTTTTTTGAGAATTTTTCATTTTTTTAACATCCCGTAGAGTGAGTTATAAGTAGGGTTTATACAAAAACCGACATTTCAGAAAACCGGTTTTCGAATTTTATATAAAAAATAAATTTTTGCTGTATATTATCCGAATATCCTGTAATTTATCCGCAAATTTAGTGTAAATCAGAGCAGTATTTGACTGAATTTATTTATTGTTCAATTTTATAGATAGTAAACAAAATTATTTTAATTTTAATTAGTAGAACTAAAAAATAATTGTTCATCTTGATTAAATAACTTTGAAAATAATTATTCGTTATTCATGCATCATTTTCACATATAAGAATGAAAATATTTTTATGATAGTGAAAGGAAAGTTTTCGAATAAATAGAAATATTACATTTTTGAATAAAAAACATACATTAAATTAATATTAGACACATGTTGATACATACTTGTTAATATCAATTTTAGTTTTAAAAATAATTAAGCTGAACTTGGGTATTGTCTGTTCCAAGCAATTTTAATTAATTAATTTTAAACATTCTGATTGTTTTTTTTTTCGTTTAATAAAATATGATTTCAAAAAACTGAGAACATCTATCGAATTGCTACTTAGACGTGACCTTTGTTTACTCACAAAATTTCCTGAAATAGAAAATATTCTCATACTTGCGACGAAATTATGCTTAATTGTTTTTAAAACCTGATATAATAATTCTAAGTTTTTTGTTCTTTTATTTGCGGCTTCTAGGGTTTAAATTTTTTTTTCAAGTTTGAGTAGAGGAAGTTACTTCTTCAAAAAGTTTAAATTAATATATACTCTGGTATAAAAATCGAAATTAATATATACAAAACCTTTCTGGGAACCATTGCAGACTGATAAGATATCAAATGCTATTGAACCGATATGATTTCAAGAATCAAAACGCTTTCATCTATCTTTTATATTTGGCTATATTTGTGATTTTCCATTTATACAGTGAAAACCGACTTTTTTTACTAAAAAACCGGTTTTTGAATTCCATAATTTTCGCCAAAAAACCGGTAGGGTTGGTTGGTTTTCAAAAACCGGCTTTAAAGGTTTTTGAAAACCGACTAACCCTGGTTATGTTAATAATAAAACATTTATTATTCCTCGAACATTTCGTTACGGTACGGGAAGTTCCAGCAATTTCCCTTAAGGCACTGTGCCAAACACCACTAGTTTTGTAACAAATTGGTAAATACACAAATAGAAGTACACATCTGTCCAAAAAATTCAATAACTCAAACTTCAACGATCTCCTAATTCATCACCTCACTTTTTCCCGAGTGCAAAAAAAGTACAATCAATATCTTTTCTATTTTACGTCAAAAATTCAATATCGACATTTGTTCGAAAGCCGCCATCATCGGCCAATCTATATAAACACAAAGCGTTTTGCAATTAAATTGATTTATTTATTAGCCGGAAAGGGGAGACTGGGGGTGTTCGGTATAAATTCGAATTGAAAATTTGCATATTGCCTATACAGTGGGGTACGTCGGTATCATAGTTTGTTATTTATAGTCTGGCTATCAGGAACAATATTTATTTTGCTGCGGCCATATCAAAACACGGTTTTAAAACGATGTGGTAAAGGAAACCGGGGTAAAATGGAGGGGGTGGGCAATTAATCGAACGGAAGCAATTAACCAAAGTTAATAGAAAAACTAGTGGTGTATGGCATCGTGCCTTAAGGCAAATTGCTGGAACATCCCGTACCGTAACGAAATGTTCGAGGAATAATAAATGATTTCAAATACATTATTATAAAAAGTGTAACTTTGTCTAATATTTATAAGTATTATATAAACTGAATTACAAAGTTGAAATTATTTATTTAAATTATATAAGTGAGCTTTAGAATTTCAGCGTAAATTAAAATTAAAATCCGAATTATTTTCGATATACAAAAAAAAATCCTGCAAAAAAATGAATTAAATGGTGTTTAGATAATTCAAATTGGAGTCTCCGTTCTATGAAAAACTCAAATTCTATTTCCTGCAATCTTTGCTCTTATGCCAAAATGTTCAGAAACCTTCAAAATGTAAAGAAATGCAAAAATTTTCATTTTCGATTTTTGGACGATTGCAATAACTTACCCTACGGGATATTAAAAACAATTTGGCACAGATCCCAACTGACATCTTTAGAACAGCTTTAGAATTTTCAAAATCGCTTCAGAATTTTTGGTCAAAATATGTGCAAAAAGTTTCCCTTTTATCTCCAAATGAGTCTGTGGGATCGTAGTAGACTAGAGATTCGAAATGACATATGAATAATTTTAATCACTCTCAAATTAATTTATATGTTATTGATTAAATCGATTATTTACACATATCGGAAAGTTCATGTAACTTGCCACAAGGCAAAATACCAATACCACATAGATATAAAATGATTCGCAGCAACTATACACATTCATCATTGGTGATGCAAAATTAAATTTTTGATGCCTCTCTCTTTTTGCTCCATTTGATAGGTAACTATTTGAAGAATTTATTACCCATCCGAATGTTTTTACAGCATCATATGCCATGCGTCAATTTCGATATTTCGAAATTAGTACGATAGCTGATGAAAATAATTTTTCAAAAGTATAAAACAACTATTATTTGCCTTCGTATTACTGCACTAAAAAATAAAAAGAAATAAATCCAATTCAAAATAAAAGATTTTTTACTAGCTTTTTGGGAGGAAATCCGAAATCTCTCTCGATAAAAAGGTGCTTCTGTACAAAACTATCATAGTGCCCATTTGGACTTACGGAATCGAACTATGGGGTTACTCTTGTAAATGAAACATAAACATAATTCAAAGGTGCCAGAACAAAATTCTGCGTATCTTAACTAATGGTATATTTCGAACTTTTGCCTATGTAAGGATTTGAAAATCTCTACAGTTCATTTTTCAATAATAAATTAATCCACCAATTTAATGAGGGTGGATTGCTTGTGCAAAAACAAGTCAAGTTTAAATCAGAGAAACACGAAAAATGTTACAAAGTGAGAGCCTGTGGAATAAGTTTATTATTACTTATTACTACCAGCGCTCTGTCTATTCATTTCGCACTGTTTCCGATATGTATTTATATTTTTGCGGATGTAATATTGCATTTGTTCAATTGCGATCGATTGTAAATACTTCAATGTTCCATTGCGAAGTGCTATTCAAATATTTCATTTTAACCAATTCCATATTTTCATAGAGAGAATATATTTTTCATTTGTGAAATTACTAAAAAAACGCACTTACGAGATAGATATTAACAATACTTAATATTTTTTAACGTTATATTTTCTAAATGTTATGTTTGATTGTTCGTGATATTAATGTTTCATCTTATATATAAAATTCTTCTGTAATGATGTATGAATGGATATTCCTCTTAAATGATTATTCAGATTTTGATAAATCTATTTAAAGTTTGTTGAGGGATTTTTTTAGGATTTAGTGATTATAGAAATATAGTTATATTGAGAAATAAACAGAAAAAATGACAAAAAAAAACGCTTATATTTGTTTGACATTGAAGATATTTGAGGTATTGTTTGACATTGAAAACAAATGAAAACTATCATCTGCTAAAAATTTCAATTTCCTCGTAATATTATATTACCTAGACAATATTAGAATACGCATAAAAATTAATGATTATGAATAAGAAAAATGAAATGTCTACATTATTATTGCCAAAAAGCAGCTGAGACGTACCAGAAATTAAAATAATATAAGATAGAACATATTTTTGGCTGATGAAATTATATAATTCAGTTTGACAGATTATTATTTTTAACTAAGCAGCCGTGTTTTGCCTTACTTTACTATATCACAAAACAAAACAAAAATTACTTATTCAAAAAATTATTCAGAAGTTCCATTGTGTAAAAAATTCATATCAATGGAGCGTTTTGGGCCTGAATTTTTTTTACTGTGCTCCAATTTGCATGAAATTTTGGAATTAGGTTCATCTTACTCTCAAGTTCGGGAACGCGGGTCAACCGATTTGAATAATTCAAAAAACATTCGATTCATATTGATAAGCAGACGTGCTGATTAGTTTTTGGCAAAGGCAGGTCTAGCCGTTTTGGAGATACGGGACAAAAAGTGCCAAATATGGTATATCAACTTTTGAGAGAACGGAATAGCCAATTTGTAAGATTCAAAAAACATTTTATTTGTATTGACGAAATGAAGAATTGATAATTTTTTTAAAAAGACAGGTCTAACGGTTTTGGAGAACTAATTAAAAAATGTCAAAAATGATCATTAGACATATACACATAAAATTATCACAATTTTATTTACTTTTTTACAACAAATTTTGTTTACCTTTCTATGGGTTTCGTACCAATGTTTATCCGCTATACTGCGACGCGGCGCCCACGCGCTTCAATATTTCGTTTTTACGAAGCTAACACATCGCGATTGCTTTGATAAAAAGTTCAAAATTTCCAAAATATTTCATAGTATGAAAAAATCAAATTTTCAATAAGGCCAATTTTTATCAAGAATGTTAAATATCTGAAAAATCGATTTTTTTCAGAGTTCTAAAAGAAAATTGAATCTTTTTTAAAAAATTTAAATTTATTACGGGAAGTTTCAGAAATTTGCCTTAAAGCACGATGTCATACACCACTTGGTCATTATTTGTCTGATAAAATCAAAAATACTTAATAATCGGATGACGCACTTTAGTTACTTTGCCGTGCCTAAAGAAGTTTTTACTTCACGAAATTATGTTCACCCCACTATTTGTTTCAAAGTCGATTTAACACATTGTTGAAGATTGTATCTTAATACCCGAAACCGGATTTTTTCTTACATTAGTCTCTGGAAGCAAAAAGTAGTCTTCTATAAAATACATTCATGATGGTGATGTCCCTCCGATCGTCTTAATAAGCTACTTCTTGACACCTCATTATTATTAATATCCATTTGATGCGTCCAATCCATTGAATATATTATTTTGAATTACCCGCGCATAACAGGAAATTATAATAAACCGAGAGACAAATAAGATGAGATTAATATCTAAGATATTTAGATCAGAATAATATTTTGTATTGGCGCTCGGATCCTGTAAGAAATTTTAGTTTCTGACCCGGTTGAGGTTAGAAACTTGGTGTACTTTCAAACTTAGTTTCACCAATTTATAAACTAGTGGTGTATAGCATCGTACCTTAAGGCAAATTGCTGGAATTTTCGGTACCGTAATGACAATTTCGAGAAATTTTAAACGTTTTCAAATATATTATTAAAATACTGTTACTTTCATTATTTTTGCTATCTTGTTATATCAGAGCAAATCAAATGTAAATTGTAAATATTTCGATTTATCTCCAGAACATTAACAATCGTCATTTCATTTTGAAATTCAATTAAAAAAACAATAGTTGCCTAATAATTTACGCAAAATTGAAAAAATGCTTCCGTATATTCACAGTCTAAACGCATTTGCAAATGATTCTGTGCGACATTTTCACCTATACTGTTGCTTATTTCATTTTCACATTTTTCGATAGTTTTCACAAAATTGTAAAAGTGTTCCAGTACTTAAACAGTCTAACCGCATTTGGGTAAACATTTGTACCAGAGTGGCGCTTAGACTGTGCTTAGCCTGGGTAATTTTTTGAATTTCTAATCCAAAATTACAAAAACTTTTTATGGAAAATAAAAAGAATGACGTAATAATTTTTTATCCTTCAAAAGCAATTGTTTTGTCAATACAAGCAGAAAGTTTTTTAGATCATTCAAATCGGACGCTTAGTTCACTCAAAAACTGCCATTTTTGCACATTTTGCAAAAATTTTCAATTTCGATTTTTGTACAATTACAATAACTTACCCTATGGGAAGTTAATAATGTTATTGTAGTCATACTTCAAATATGATATGATCGGTTTGTCATTGTAATTAGCATTCAGAAATGAACCTTTATTAGAGAAATGAAGTAATTGCTAATTAATTTATTCTATAATATTCGTTCACACAAGTGGATTATGTAAAAGAAATATTGTTTTCGCAACTTCACTCATCATGTAATAATTGTGTTAAAAGAACTTCATGTAATTAAAATTAACAGACATTCATTGACTGCTTCTTTTTTGTTTTACATTTTTGCTGGCGATAATATTCAT